CTCGCAGCATTCCCTGAGGTGTCGTGCCAAGAGGATTGGCACGTTGGAGCTAGGCTGGAGGAAGCTTTGCTGGTGCAGAGCATGGACAGGCACAGGCTGAACAAAGAGAGAATTAGTGTTTGTGATCTTTTTATATCCCCTGGTTTTTGCCTTCAGGTCCAGGTGTCCAGTGAAATAGGTGACAAGTCCTACCTCCTCCCCCCACAACCTGTCAAACAGTTCCTGATATCACCACCTGCCTCTCCACCAGTTGGGTGGAAACAGAGTGAAGATGCAACTCCCCTGATAAACTATGATTTGCTCTGTGCTGTCTCCAAGTTGGGACCAGGTAAGAATCTTCACCTGCTTTTGTTGTGTTACTTCACTTCAGAAATTGTTATAGAGGGAGTTTATCTACTTATCTTTCTGTGGGAAGAAACCGAGTCTCTTTTGTATGATGTTTCTTAATTGAATGAATTCTTGGATCATTATCTATCACTTTTTTTAATTAGTTGATTGGAAGTAGAGCACAGGACTGGACTCTGAGGTAAAGGTTCCAGCAGATCCATGTATGGAATTTTGTCAGAATCTGAGTATTAAAGAAGAGGAATGAGAAACTCAATCTCTTGCAGATGAGCAGCTCCAGTTATTAAGGATATAAGGATGCTAATAAATACTTTTTGGGTTTAATCACCAACTTCTTTCTGAGCCTTTCTTGGAAACATGGTGTTTGCTTTCTGGGAAAAAAAAGCAGGAACGTGAAGGTTTAATGTTTCCAACTGCATTTCCAAATGTCACATAAATGTGCAGTATAAATGATGTCACTCCAAATGTGTCCTGATGGTTCATGAGAGTTTTCTACATCCTTTCCATTAAACAGCAGTTCCAAGATTGTGTTCAAAGTGCAATGTAACTATGGCAAAGCATTTCCCAGGTCTGGTGGAGTGTGGAAGTTGAGCAGCTTTAAGATTGGATGGGGATAAAGATTGTTTAGTTGTGTTGCTGAAGGTATTAAGGAGACTTTGAGATAAAGTGGTTTAATGCTTTTCCTTGGGAATCTTTTAACATGGTTTTTCTTTGCTGCTCTTCAGGGGAAAAGTATGAGCTCCATGCAGGAACAGACTCCACTCCCAGTGTGGTTGTCCATGTGTGTGAGAGTGAGACAGAGGAGGAGGAGGAAATCAAAAACCCCAAGCAGAAGATCCTGCAGACGAGGCGTCCAGACCCTCCTGCCACGATCCTGAGCGACTCCAAAGCCTTTGAGTGCACCCTGGAGGTTGGTGGGAACATGCACTGTTAAACCCTGGGATGCTCCAGGTGGTCTCAACATCAGACACTTACTGAGTCCATGTGTCAGTGTCTGTGCTGCTGCTATATGTCACCTATAGCGACAACAGATTTGACTTGTAGTTGTCTCTCATGTTCAAGGTTTTGGATTGCCAATGCTCTGAAAAGCACTTTAATTTTAGGGCCTAGTCCCCCAAGTGTAGCAAATCCACCTGACTTGAAATAGTGACAGTTAGGAAATTGTGGTTTGGGTTTTTTTTTAAGATGTTCCTCTTTTTTTTTCTAGTGTACAGTGTGATGTACCAAGTGCTGAAATAATCTCTTGCTGTCACAATTGAGTCCAGAAAGTTCATTGTCCAGCAGTGCAAAGCTGATCTGTGCTGGTCTGACACAATGTACTCCTTATGCTAAAACTCCTTCCCAGCTGAGGGGAAGATTAACCTTTGCTTTCCCCAGAAAGGCCAAGTATGTGTTTTTATTTCGACATGAGGCACAAATACATGTGTGGAGCTGAATCCACCTGGGTTTGGTGACTCCACAGAGGAGAAAATCCAAGGAAGAACCACAGACCACTGGGGAGACAGACTGAGTGTGTCCCCACCACTCCTGCCCTGGTGTCTGGGGGGTATGATGGTGAGCACTGACAGCTAATTAGGAGTTAATTACAGGATGTAGAGTGAAATCTGGAAAGCAGCTGTGGAATGTGTTGTCTCTGATCCTCTCTGAAAATCTGGTGGTGACGTTTGCTCCTCTCCAGTCCCTGAGAGCCTCCAGAGATGGAGAAACGCAGTGACTGTTAGGCTATGTCAGGAGATAAACCATCTAGGGTTAATTTTGAACTTCTCCAGCCTGTTTTGTATTTTTCAGGACAATCAGTTGCCTGGCTTAGCCAGTTTTTATGCAGTTTTAAGCCCTTGTTTGCTGTTTTTTCATGAAGACTTTTCTCTGTGTGGCATCTTGTCTGTCTGACAGAGCATCTGCTGCTGCTGAGACCAGGATGCACCTTCTAGAATACAGATCTTTACTTTTGTGATCTTGTGTTAAGTGTTTTAGTAGGAGGAGAATATGCCTCAGTGTAACAACGCCCGTTCCTGTGCTTTTATGCTATTTTATAGCCAAACTTTCTTAGCCTAGAGAGATTCTTCTTTTTTTTTTCTATTTCAAAGGACAAAACGTTCTGTGAACAGACCAAGCTGCCGATGGTGTTTGTAAAAATCATCCAAACCATCAGAAATTGGCCTTTCCCAGAGTCATTTTAGTGTGTTTGAGCTTTCAGAAGTGTTTGCACTTGACTGACAGCAGAGAGAGAAAGGAATGGTCATGGATTCACATGGATGTGGTAGTTTCCAACTCTGTATTGTGCCAGTTCATGGTCCCTCCTGCCACCAGCTCCACGTTGGATCCTGCAGGCAGGTCCTTGTTCCAGAGGCAGGAGTAGCATAGAGTGAAAAGCTAGGGAAATGAGGTTTGTTCATCTTGCCTCCACAGGTGTGAGGTTTATGTATCTCTTCAGGTGTTAAAATCACTCCAAGTCCAACTTCTCTGTATCACTGTTCCATGGTATTGAAGAAAAACAACAAAAACCTGTATTATCCACGAGGCTTGTGGATATTTACAGCTCCAGAAGTCCATTCTGGATTCTCTGTTGTGTTTCTATTTTGCTACTTGTTTAATTTCTACCCCACTGTAGAAGTTGCTGTAAGTAGGAGTAAGTGGAGAACCTCCAGAAAGTTTTATAAGGCGAATCAAGGCAGTGATGTTGTCGATGTATCAATGTGTAACACGTGGAACAACATTCCAGCACTTTTCATTGTGTAAAGACACTTCAAATAAAACAATGCAGTGCCATTCACACCTGGGATTTTGGCTGTATTCC